ACAACTCAGCAAGATGCTGTCTCTAAATAATTTTTTTAAAAGGGCTAAGGGGCTGGAGAGATGGCTCAGCAGTTGGGAGCACTGACTGCTCTTGCAGAGGACCCAGATTCGAGTCCCAGCACCCATATGGCAGCTACAAACCGTCTTTAACTCCAGTTCCAGGGGAATCTGAAGCCCTCTTCTGACCTCTGAGGCATTGCATGACACGGGTGCTCTCACATACACGCAGGCAATACACTCATACACACAAAATAAAAATAATAAATAAAATATTTTTTTAAAAAGGGCTGAGGTATAGCTCAGTGGTAGAGTGTTTGCCTAGCATGTGTGAAGCCCTGGGGTTCAGTCTTCAGCAAGGGAAGAGGAAGCTAGTGACTAAAGGAAAACAAGTGGGTAGAGGGTTAAACAGAATGGGCGAAGATGACCTCAGCCTCACGGCCTCCTCCTTGGGCCATCTTTTCAAGCAGGGGAACATTTGATCCTACCTCTGGCAGTGTCTGCCAGTGGAGTGTGAGAAGCACTAACTCAGCGAAACAAGATATTTCCACTGGGGCCCCAGCAACACCAGAGGACAGGCCTCCCTCAGCCCTGTGGAGCCCACATTTGCAGGAACAGCACGTGACCCTGCTCTGGCCCAGCTGCATCCCAGACAGAGGTGTCAGAAGGGGCACTGTCTCTGTCACTTGCTTACACGTGGACTTCCTGTGACCACCTGTCCCCTTACCTGCCTGCTTCCCTTCCCTAAGAATGAGCTCCCTCAGACTGCACCTGACTCCAACATGTCTTCTTATAAACTGGGCATTTATTTGCCCCATAATCCGAATAATGACTGGGTGATTTGGGACTCTGCTACACTGATTATTTTTGTTGGCCAGTGTGCCCAGCTTGGTTCATGAACATACAGCACATGACTCACTGTGTGCTCAGCCCCTCCCTGGGTACTGTGAGTAGCCCCCATACCAGCCGGATACTTCCCAGGCCCGGGAGTTCATAGCACGTAGACGTATATAGTATAATGTGTTGATGCCTGCTCCAGGTCCAGGACAGGGGTCCTGGATATTTACAATGGTATGGTAACTGGGGTTCCAGAAAGCAGCCAATTTGCAGGTACTGGGCAGTTCCATCGGCTGCTGAGGTGGCTTCCCAGGAAAGGCCAGTGGAGTGCGGTGGGAATAGGCTTCTTGTGTGGGTGGAGCCTGGCACTCCGGAGAAAGCAGGTTCTAGACTCTGTGTGCATTTCAGGCTTCAAGCTTTGCAGTCTCACTGTCAAATAGGCCCCATTCCCAGGAGCCTAGAGAGACATTTGCATTGGGAGAAAATACCCGAATCACACATCAGGCTGATTCCCTTGGGCTTGCCAAAGGTGGGAAGCTGCAGCCAGCCAGGCAGGGTGGGCAGGAAGCAACCTTGTAATAACAGCTTAGAGTCACCAGCTTAGGGCCTTCCTTTTCTGTTAAATCTGTTCCTAAATCTGTATTTTTTATTATTTATTTATTTATTTATTTATTTATTTATTTATTTATTCTCTTTTGGAGACAGGGTCTCCCTGTAGCCCCAGCTGGCCTGGAACTCGCTACGTAGACCAGGCTGGCCTAGATCTCACAGAGATCTACCTGCCTCTGCCTCCTAAGTGCCCAGATTAAGGGCGTGTGCCACCACACCTGGCCCTATTTTTATTTTTATGTGTCTGAGTGTTTGATCTGCATGTATGTAGTACACCATATGTATGCAGTGCCCACAGAGGCCAGAAGAGGGTGTCAGATCCCCTGGAATTGGAGTCACAGGTGGTTGTGAGACTCCATGAGGTGCTGGGAACCAAACCTGGGTCCTCTGCAAGAGCAGCCAGTGCTCTTGACCACTAAGCCATCTCTCCAGCCCCGTAAATCTATATTTGTATCCATTTCTCTTTTTTAATATTTTATTTATTATTTTTATTTTTATGTGTATGAGTGTATTGCCTACATGTAGGTGGGTGCTGGGAATTGAACCTGGATCCTCTGCAAGAGCAGCCAGTGGTCTTAACTGCTGAGTCATCTCTCCAGCCCCCCTTGCAGTCTGAGAATCCCCCTCTGACTGGACCAGGGCTCCTTGCAAACAGATCATGTCCCCCTCAGACTGGACTCCCTGAAAACAACCCATATCTCCCTCAGACTTGGGTCCCCTGAGGAAAGGCTGTGTCTTTATTTGCTGAATGTCTTTGGCACAATGGATGCCCAGTATGATGTAGGTCCAAAACTTGGCTCAATAAATTATTTGTTAAACCCTTCTGCCCACTTCTCTCTTGGCCTGCTCAGAGTGTAGAGACCATGTTTTTTAAAGTCAGTGTTAAAACGAAATTACTTCTGATCTGCTGAACCACCAGTTCAAAAAAGGTTAAACAAAACCTCCTCTGTTCCAACGGGAATGTGGATGAAGGGAGCCTGGGACAGCCCAGGAGACTCTCATGTGGGAAATGGTGGCTTTCAGACATCAAGTGTACGGTCAACAGCTCACAGGAGTCTGGTGCTGGGAGGAATCTTAGTGGTAGCCCGGCAACATCTGTGTATAGCAGAAGTTTAGAGTCCACTGAGGGGAAGGTCACACAACGAGGCAGGGAACAATTATGACTCAGTGCCCAGAAAGAGGAGAGAGATTCCCATTACCTTCAGATCCTCAACTCCAGTGATTCAGTTGGGAAGCCTACTACTGGGTGTCTCGTGGTCTCAGTATTTACATCTGTAAAATGGATGGGTCACATGTCTTACCTCATAAGAACGAGGTAAAAATGAAGTAGGATAGTAGATGTGGAATTCACTGGGAAGTTCAAACATGAGGGAAGCCACGTGATGAATGAATGAATTAATTAAAAGTAATTTACCAGAGAATCCAAATCAATGATGCTTCCTAGTCTCCCAAATGAGCCCCATCCATCTCCATAGTTCATGTGATAAACATTTGTTGAGCACCTACTAAGTGCTAGGCAGTGTGCAAGGTGCTGGGGATACTGCAGTGCTCCTTCTGGCTCTGCTCATCATCTCTCCCACCTCACACAGAGTTGCACTGAGTCCAGCACATGAACGACTTGCTCCTTGACTCTCCTTCATCTCAGCCCTTTCTACCACCTTCTGCTACTCAGTTGCAGGCACAGCCTCTTCGCCACCCCAGGGCCTTTGCGCTTGCCATCTCATCTCCCTGCAGTTATCTTCTCCTAGATCTTGGCGTGGTCCCAGCCTCCCCTCTTCAAGGTCACAGCTCCATGTTAGTGCTGTCTTCTGTAGATTCTCTCTGACATTCCAGCCTTCAGAGTCTCTCTCTCTCTCTCTCTCTCTCTCTCTCTCTCTCTGTGTTTAAATATACATGCATACATGTGCCATGGCACGCATGTGGTCAGCTTGTGGGAGTCAGTTCTCTCCTTCTACCACGTGGGTACTGGGGATCAAAGATCAAGCTTCCATCTTTAGGCCTGGTAGCAAGCACCTTTACCTATTGACCCCAGCAGGGATTTTGTCTGTCTTGCTGACATGAGTCCACATTGCCTAGGACTGTGCCTATCACACAGTAACTGCTCACTAAATGTTTGCTCACTGAATGGTGCATGTAAGGAGAAGCTCTTGCTCTCATACAGCCTCCATTCTGTCATTAGGGCCTTCCTGGGTGTGGAGAGAAGTGTGTGTGTGTGTGTGTGTGTGTGTGTGTGTGTGTGTGTGTGT